GGGGAAAAAGAAAAGGAAAGAGAAATTTTCATACCCTGAGATTCCACCAGAGTTGGCGTATCAGACACCACCCGTACCTTTTCCTCAAAGACTCAGAAAAGAAAATCAGGATAAGTAGTTTATTAAATTTCTTGATGTTTTTAAAAAACTGCATATTAACATTCCTTTTGCAGATGCATTGCAATAGATGTCGAGCTATGTGAAATTTCTTAAAGAAATTTTATCGAACAAGAGGAAGCTAGAAAATGAGGAAACAGTGATGCTTACGAAAAAGTGCAGTGCCATTCTCCAGAAGAAGCTGCCCTCGAAACTCAAAGATCCAAGGAGTTTTACTATCCCGTGCACTGTAGGAGATATCTCCTTTGATCGAGTTTTATGTGACCTAGGTGCTAGCATTAATCTTATGCCTTTTTCTGTTTTCAGGAAACTAGGAATTAGTGAAGTTAAACCGACAACCATATGCTTGCAACTTGCAGATCGATCAATAAAGCATCCGAGGGGCATTGTGGAGGATGTGTTGATTGAGGTGGACAAGTTTATTTTTCCTGCGGACTTCTTTGTGTTGGATATGGAAGAAGACAAAGAGATTCCTCTTATCTTGGGACAATCATTCCTAGCCACCGGAAGAGCTTTAATCGACATTCAAGAAGGGAAATTGATCATGAGGATGCAAGATGAAGAAATAACATTTAATGTCCTTGAATCAATGAGAGCTCCACCCAGGAAAGAGTCGTGTTTAAAAATCGATGTAGTGGATCAGTAAAAAATTGAACCCTTCCAACTGAATAACCCTAAGGTGGAAATTAAGAGCTGCATTGTCAAACCGAATCAGTTAGAAATTGAGGACCATTACGGATTGGGCTGCACAAAATTCCAAGACACGCCGCAGCTGAGTTTGAGTTCGCATAAGGAACAGGTCTCTGAGATCAAAAAGGGTGAAGTAAAGCAAAGAAAATAGAAGGTGGTAGGTGAGAAGAGTCGAGCAACCAAAGTTATGACCAAGGGATGGAAATGGGTGGTGAAACTCTCAACAAGGCAACTGTGTGAAAAAGATCATCAGCAATTGAAGCTCCAGTACAAGGGAAATTTTCGGGATGTGATGTACTTGGATAGTCCGGGCTGATGTGAAGGATTGAGAGAGTCAAGCTATCGACTATAAACAAGCGCTTCTTGGGAGGCAACCCAAGTGTCTTTAATTGTTTGTTTTTCATGTTGGTTGTTAGAATTTGTTTGATTTCATTATGAGTTTGTATGATTTTTAATGTTTGTGTTTTTGGGTGTTTCAGGTGAAGTTTTCAGCCAAATAAAGGAATTAAAATGCTCCAGACTTCGTCGGGGCGAAGAAACCTGAAAATTGGGGTAGCTCCTGGAAGTTTTCGCCACAGAGAAAAAGTGAATTTTTTTTTTTTGAAAATTGGCTAAGGCATTCCGCTGCGGCGAAGAAAAATTCTTCGCTGGGGCGAAGTAAGCCGTCTATCCTCTGGAGGTTTTAGCCCTGGCGAAGAATTTTTCTTCATCGCGGCGAAACTTGGGTTTTTTTTAGGGCTCATGAAAGATGAACTTGGCCTTGGTGACGGTCCTTTTCTATAAATACCCACTCTTCTTTTTCATTTTTCACGCAACTTTTCCTTTTCACTTGAGAGAAAAATTTTCAAAATTCAATCTTTTGCTTCCCTAGTGCTTTTCCAACCAAATTTCTTACTCCATAACCTTCCTAAACACCAAAACAACCCATTTCAACAACAATTTTCACGAAAATTTTTGGATCCAAAATTTGGGGCTTTTCAATCCGGGATGTTTCTGGTTCAATTGGTGGCGAATACTGCTTCATATTGGTAAGATCTCGCATACCCAAAGCTTTTTATTGCACAATTTCAAGTTTTTAATTGTAGATCTGAAAATTTTTGTTGCAATTGAGTTGTGGAATTTGGGTGATTGTGAGCATTGATTTTGTTAGAGGAATAGTAGTTTATGCATTAAGTGATTGTGAGGAGTGTGGGTTTGTGAAATTGTGGAGTGTTTGTGTGGATTTGAAAAATTTGTAGTTTGGGGGTAAAGCACAAATTTTTGGAAGTGTTGGTTGCTTTTGCGGGATTAAATTGGTTGTGTGGAACAACTTAGTTTGAATTGTTGGGGTACATGTAACGCCCCACTTGAGATACGTAGCCATTGTTGGGTTACTGAATTGCCCCTACATGAGTTTGTATATTGTTCATGTTGTTTGGTTGGCCCTTGGTTGAGGTTATGTTTTGGGTTTAGTTGAGTGTTTATCCTGGAATTGATCAAGACTTAGCGGATTTTGGAGTTACAGCCTTTGTCGGGGTGAGGAAGAAGCTTCACCGCGGCGACGTCGGCTTTGAATTGGCAATGTCGATTCTGTAATTCTTTGCCGGGGCGACAGAGAATCCTTCACCGTGGCAAAGGGCCTGCTGAGTTTTTGTTTGAGTTTCTAGAGAATTCTTTCCTAAGGGTAAAATGACCATTCTACCCCTAATTAGCAGGAAAAGTGGGGAGTAAAATGTAAGGAAATTTCATGGAGAATAGTGTAAAATGGGGGTCAGTTTGTAAAGAATTAAAGGATAAAGGTGGAAATTTTAAGAAAGAGTAAGGGCAAAATGGGAAAGATTGTATATTATATGAGCTATTAAGGGTTGAGTTCTCTAAATCCATTCATTTCACTCATTTCCACTGCCTCTTCATCTCCCATTTTCTCTCAATTCCTCACTCAATCTTCCAAGGGATTTTTGAGAGTTTTGAGTTGGAATTTGACAAAGGATTGATCCTAAGCAAGAAGAGGTAAGAATCATTACTCTAGATATGAGTTTTATTTATGTAAGGGTTAAGTTCTTACTAAGTTTATGCTTAGGAAATAAGAGAAAGCTATGAGTCAATAAGAGTAGAGCTCTTTAGTGGAGACTACTCAAGTATGAGGTAAGTAAATCCCAACCCAAGTTGAGATTTGAGAATTCTATTGAGTAGAGATTTAATAGAAATGATGTATGCATGTTTTATGTATGTATTTGAGAAATTGAGTAGAGATATATGTCTACTTGTTGAGAAATTAAGTTGAGATAAGTATTCATGTTGAGTTTGTTGAATACTTTCCCTTTATAAGAAGTGTGGATGTGTGATGAGTTGAGATGAAGTTAGATGAGAATGAGCATATATTTTGGGAGTGTTCTTCTATGGTAGGGATTATGCCCATAGAAGGGAGTTTTACTTCCAATTTTGGATGGTTAAAAAGAGAGATAGAGTTGTAGTTAGAAAAGTGTTTTATATGCACATGAGTTGTTTGATGAAATGCCTAAGAGAAGCATGAGAATGAGTTATGAACCTTAATTATTGCAACATTGCATATTAGCATTTCCTAAGTGCATCAATGAGCATGAACCATCCATATGCATTAAGTGTGCATTGAGAAAGAACTTGAGAAAAAGTTGAGAAAGAGTAGAGAATTACTCTAAGAGTTAAGCTACATTATGATGAGTAGCTAGAGAAAGAGTAGAGATCTTGTGCACAAGAGGTAAAGAAGAGAATAGAGTAAGTTGTGCGATGGGGAACTTGTGAGTGATGAGTAGAGTCACGAGAGTGGGTGCTTTGTGATCCCCAGCCATGCCTCCGGTCAAATGAAGCCGTGACCTTCACGCAGAGTGGAACATGAGGTTCCAACCGTGCCTCTGGTAAGAAGAGGTCGTGACATTTGAGAGATAGAGAGAAAGCATGTACACTCATATGGCCAAAGGTTCCGAATCCATGCATGACCAAATCCAATCGGTAGAGAAATGAGCCGAAGTCACGTAGAGTGGTAGCGCCCAGCCGTGCCTCCGGTCAGATGAGGCCGTGACATTCTAATGAGTAAGAATGAGAAAGAACTTAAATAGAAAGAATAGAAAGAGAAAAAGAGTAAAGTCAAGAAAAGCGGGTTGAGTTCCAGACCGTGCCTCCGGTAAGATAAGGTCGTGACATACACCAGAGGGTGTATAGTAAAGAATACGAGAAACAGAAACAGAAAGAGAACAGAGATGAGAAAAGCTAAGAGTTAAGTTATATTATGAGTACTCGCTTGAGAAAGAGATGAGAAAACATGAGAAAGAATAAAGAGAGATAATGAGTAGGGTTACGAAGAGTGGGATGAGTACCTAGCCGTGCCTCCGATAAGATGAGGCCATAACCTACAACAGAGAGTTAACGGAAAAGAGTTATGAGAAAGAGAAACAGAAATGAGAATGAATGAGAAAGCTTGAGAAAGAATGAGATAGAAAGAGAGAGAGAGTATGAGAAAGAATGAGAAAGTTTGAGCTAGTAAGAATAGAGAGTAGAAGAGAGAAACATGCAGTTCTTTTGTATTAATTGCATGTATAGCTCATACAGGCAGGCACCATGATTTTCCTTCATGGTGAGTATGATGAGAATAAGAGCGAGAACCATGATTTTCCTTCATGGTGAGTATGATGAGAATAACAGAGAACCATGATTGTCCTTCATGGTGAGTAAGAATAAGAGAAAAAGAACAGAGAATAAGAACAAAGAGAAAGAAAGAATAAAAAAGAGCAAAACAGAGTTAAAGGAGAATAAAAGTATTAGAAAGAAAGAGAAAAACAGTGAGAAATAGAAATAGAAGAACGATAGAGTAAGGAAGAACCAAAAAGTGAATTCGGGGGGACAAGTAGTAGAGGATTTACTTACTGAGCATTGTTGTGCTCACCCCGTTGTTCTTCTCTGTTTTGCAGAAAATAGGAGCAGCGGTTGGATGGACGTTGAGGAGCGGAGAGTATTGGCACCACTGTCCACTAGCTATGATATTTTGTATTAATTAGAAAGTTTTTAATACATAGTCTTTTGTATTTGTAAAGAATTACATTTTATGAGTAAAGAAAAATTTTAGCTCACTATCTTTCATACGCTATGTATCTCTATAATTTACTCAGTATGTATTATAAGAATAGTAGTAAAGAGGAGGTGTTACAGTACATTTGTTGAGTGGATTTTTATTGTGAACAATGGCTCCCAAAGTTAAGCATCAATGCAAGGGTAAGGGCAAAGGAAAGAATGTTGACGACCGTTTCGTTAATGAGGAAGCCCGTAAAAGGTATGAGGGGGCAATCCAAAGAAAGGATAAGGGTATTATTCCTGAGCGCGGATTGACCGCGAGTCAGGCCTTGGATTGGAGTAGAGGGAGACGTTGGGAGATGTTTATGAGTGCTCCTGCACAACCGGCTGTAAAGCCGCTAGTAAGGGAGTTCTATGCCAATCTCCCGAATTGTCCGGAAGGTACAGTTTTTGTAAGAGGGACTGATGTGCCATTCACGGAAAGGGTGATCAATGAGTTCTATAACCTGCCTGAAATTCTCACGGATGAGTATGTGAAGTTTAAGAGATCACAGTTTGAGGACAGTGTCATCCCTCTGGTCATTGCAAAACCGAATGCAGATTGGGCAGTTTTGAAGAAACAGAAGAAGACACTGATGGCTAGACTGTGGCAATATTTTGTCTGTGCGAAATTGATGTCGGAATCGCACTACAGCACAGTTATTCACGAGAAGGCAGTACTGCTTTACTCAATTGCCACAGGGAAGAGCATCGATGTGGGAGACATGATCTGGAACAGCATTAAGCTAGCGGCCAAACCAGGGTGAACAAGTTACGGTTTCCCACATCTCATCATAGCCTTATGCCTTAGAGCTAGAGTCAAGGTTCAGGGTGACGAGCACCGTATTCATGCTGCCCCAGTTCTAAACTCAGAGTATTATAGGAAGCACCTTGACCGTCCGGAAGCTACGCAACCAACAGTAGGGGTAAAAAGGCAGAGAACAGGCTTTGCCACATCATCCAGCTCAAAAGCTACACAGAAAGAAATGATGCAGCAAATGATGGGTTTAATGAAATATATGAAAAAAAGTCAGGATTGGTTGGTTGAGCAGACCCAGATGACGCATGAGATGTAGAGGAATAGCTTTAAGGAGCTCAACGTTGACACTTCAGCATACCAATGGGCCAACTGGAACTCAGATGAGTGGATGGACTCCGAGGAAGAAGAGGAAGATGAGGGAGATGAGGAAGGAGAGGAAGAAGAAGAATGAGCCGGAGCACCTGTGTTTTTTGTCTTTATGTTTATTTGTTTTTATTGGATTTTGTTGTTCATTCTAAACATTAAACTCAGTTTTATTTTTGTTTTGGATTTTGTTTAGTTGTTTAGTTGATTGCTGTTAATTTGTAGTTGTTGAGAGAACGAGATTAGGTTGTAATGTTTTCAAGTTAGTTGTGAATTTGTGCTAACATAAGGGACACCACAGTTTCAATTGTTTTGACAGATTATGGGTGATGAAAAGTCCGAGACTGGGTGTTCATTGTGGAGCGACACTTCATGGATTATCTAGAGAGCATTCTCGTACCTTTGTTGTTTTTATTATTCTCTATTCCTGATTTATGCATACTGGAACATTGGGGACAATGTCATGTTTAGTTTGGGGGTAAGAAATAGAAATAAAACCTAGTTTAATGGTATATTAGCTAGAAACCAGTGCCTGCCTTAAAAACTGCCTAGCGGTACTTGGCAACCTCTGGTATAACAACGCCACGTACACCTTAAACTGAAAAAAAAAAAATTAGTTATGTTTTCTTTAGTTTGTTTGCTTTTGCCAATGATGAATTTTATAAATCAACGATGAGAATAGGGTTGTTGCAATTTTATTGTTGAGAAATGTTAAGCATTGCTTCAAGTTTATCTTATTGACTGGATTTTGATTGAGGTTTGTTGAGTGGTTCAGCCACAATTTTCATTTATTTTGGCATGCTTAGATTCATTTTATGTGATTAGGTGAAATTTGATAATGTTGGTGGACTCTAGAACCTAGTAGAGAAGGCTTGAGGCGAAATTCTAAGATTAGACATGGTTGAGGAGATGATTTAGGCATTCTTGTTGGAACGTTTGAGCCTTTCTAGCCGACCCAAGAATGAAATTGTCCCTAGTCACTCGTTTGAGCCATATGAATCAATATTGCTTTATGTTTCTTGGCAAACCGAAAATTGTCCGATCCTGTTACCCTAAACACTTTTTCGTACCCTTAGAAGAATTCGACCTTATTGCAAACACAAAGAACGGAAAAAGAGTTGTACGAATAAGCCAAACGAATAGTTTGGGGGTTGTGAGAAGGGCAGAAANTCCAGTGATGAAAGCTACCAAAGCCGGGATCTGGAAAAGGTCTGCTTTGAACCCTGGCTATTAGTATTCTGAGGAATTTTTTCTTTTTCTTTTTGTTTATATATTCTAGGGGACAGTGAGGTTGGTGACTTTGAATTCTTTACGTTTGACAGCAAAGTGACAGTTAATTGAATATCTTCTTCAAGTACCAAAAGATGTTCACTTTCATCATTTACCCTGTTCCATATATGCTAATAGGTCTGCAATGGCAAGGCACTTTTTGGTTTTCACCTTGCATGTCTCCCTATTAATTTTTCCTATTCCATATATGCTAATAGCTCTGCAATGACAAGTCACTTCTTGGTTGCTACCTTGCATGTCTCCCTATTAATTGCCCTATTACAAATTGTCTACAATGGCCAAAGTTTCTTGAATATATATCACAAAATGTTTAAATGTTGAAATTGGCGCTCCTGCTGATATCATGGTTCTTCAGGTATCCCAACAAGTTGCAAAGCCCCTTTATGATGCAAAGGTTCAGCCAACCACTTTAATACCAAAGCAAATTGGTAACACATACACAGCATCTCTATATTCAGCATTGGCTTCCCTTATTCACAACAAGCACACTGAACTGGTAATTGCTTTATGTTTCCTAATTTCACATTCTGAGTCTGTTAGTACATACAGATCCTAATTCTGTTTGATAACTTGTAGGCTGGCAAACGGGTGGTATTGTTTTCATATGGTAGTGGTTTAACTGCTTCAATGTTCTCTTTGAAACTCAATGAAGGTCAAAATCCCTTTAGCTTGTCGAACATTGCATCTGTGATGAATGTTGCCGCGAAGTTGAAGTCAAGGACTGAGGTAATTCCAATTGCTCCCTTCAGATGTGCTCTGTAAAGAACAAATCTACACACACACATCAACTTTTTGGGACTGTTATCAAGTACATATAGTTGACGCATCTAATCTAGTCATACAAGGGAGTCCTGTTGGTGTTGATAAGAACTATAACTGAATATATTATGTATATTATCCTTGAAACTTTTCTCATGGATACGTGCTTTTGATGCAGTTTCCTCCGGAGAAATTTGTTGAGGTATTGAAGGTAAATGAACATAGGTATGGAGCAAAGGACTTCCAGACGAACAAAGACATTAGCCTTTTGGCTCCAGGAACATATTATCTCACCGAGGTTGATTCAATGTACCGGAGATTCTATGCTCAGAAGGATGCTGAGAAAACCAGCTGTGAGAATGGTTCACTTACCAATGGTCATTAGTAGTGAAGCAACTGTTTGTGGGTGTCTTGTTAGATGTAGTGGCTCACTGGATGATGTTGACGTTATTGAAACTATCCCAGATTCCATAAGTTTGTGATGTTTAAAGCAAGTGTAGTTTGTTCATCAGCTCAAATCTTTTTCTTTTTAATAAAAGCTCCTCTAAATCCTCCTCTAGTTTAACCAAAGTAGTCCACCGGGTTTCGACGGTACGTGTTACGTAGTAGTTAAGATATTGAATAGTTTTTACATAATTGAACATTATTCTCATGTAAGCTTATATTTATGATGAAATAAGGATATTTTAAGTAATTATTTTTTTAATGTGTACTACAATAGTTAAAGGGATAAACCTTTGACAGGTTCAACATTCAATCTTCAAAGCCTACGATTAAGCAATGTGTGTTAATGGGTTACTATTGAGGTTGAGTGGAACTAGTCGTTAGTTGTTTCTAGTTTGTATCATTAAATCAGTATGCACTTTCTTCTGTATCTTATCCATGATTAGGTAGTTGTTGATCATCTTGTAATGTTTGCCCTAGTTAGTAAATACGCGTTTTATACGTGAATTATACGGATGACCGTATAATTCACGTATAAAATGCGTATTTACGCACTTTTAAAATAACTGTCGAATTATTCGCGAATTATTGGAACATCTGTATAATTCGTGAATTATTGCAAAAGAAAACAAACCTGATTGAAACGACGTAGTTTTGGTGGGAGAAGAAGAAATCAGTGGATAAGGGAAGAGATTATTCGCGAATTAACCACCATCTTACACCTCCCCACTTCCAGCGTAGCCCTTCACCGAGTACAGCCCCCAATGATTTTCATCCCCGTTATTGAATTTCAGGATTTCTTTCATACTTGTTTCATTTGTTGGTTCTGATTTCAGTGGCTGATGATTTTAGTTTAAAGTGTTATTTTGGAAAGGAAGGTAGGCTGGGTGGCCACTGGGGATCCGCTGGAAGGTGGAGGCGCTGGGAAGGAAGGGGTGAGGGTCCATGAGGTAGTTGGGCTTTGCGGAAGTGGGAAGGGTTGATGACGGTTTGCTGCTTTGCGGCAGCTGTGTGGTGTGACTTGTGAGACAGTGAGAGTGAGTTGGTGGGTCATGGGTGTTGGTGAAGAATAAGCATTAAGCGGTGGCGTTTTATCCAGAAAAAGATTAATAAATCCTTTTATTGAATTATTTTATTTATTGATTAATCTTATATTTCAGGTTGCATTGTAACACTAATCTTTTATATAGATTTGTGAGGCAAAATTTTAGTTCTTGATTTAATATAATTTAATGGATTAATGGGAAGTTAAAATTGGTTGCATTTAATATCAAACTTATCAAGTTTTAAATTAGTAAAGAATCATGGCTAAATATTGTGTTTGAGTCTGGAGACTATAATTTGAATATCAGTTATATATTGTATATTTGTGTTATTGGTTAATTGAATACTTTGCATTTGAAATGCTATATTGATTTTAACTAGGTAATCCATAAAAGTGTTAAAACTAAGATTGATATTGCTGTATTTTTTAAAACGTATTATTGACAATGCACCGTATTAAACCCGTATATACCCGTACCGTATTTTTCCCATATCCGAATTTTATTGCCGAATTTTTATAAACGTATTTTTTACCGTTTGCCGTATTATACCCGTAAAATTCCCATACCCTTTTTTTTGCCGTACCTGTATTTATTAACTAGGATGTTTGTTATAACTATCAATAAAATCTTAGCAAAGTCTATCTGAGAAGTTATCTCTAAAAGCCTTTTATTTTGATTTGGTATCAAAGTTAGTCTTGACCAACACCATCAACGATAACAAAAACAAACACAGACCCATCACCCTCATGGCTACTCCTCCAAACACTCTAGGCAACAGTAAATCACCAGGTACCAGTGAACCATCTTCCTTATCCGATTTGCAAATTTCAAACAAAATCTCACTTACTCCTTACAGTTCAATCAAACTTGACCGAACCAACTATCTGTTAGGGAAACATTGGTCCTACTTGTTATTAGAGGCCACAAATCAGCTGGCTATATCTTTGGCACAAAGCCCTGCCTTTCTTAATATTTGCCAAGAACCATACCACGCAGTACAGTGAAAATACCAAATCCAGATTATGAAGACTGGATTTCAAATGATCAGTTGCTCTTAAGATGGTTATACAACACCATGAATCCAGACATAGCTTCTCAGCTATTGCAGAAATCAACTTCTAAAGAGCTATGGGATGCCATGAAGGAGCTCTCAGGTGCACACACCAACTCAAGAGTCATTTACTATAGAGGTGAATTGCAAAATACCAGGAAAGGGGGAATGAAGATGGAGGAATATTTGACCACCATGAAAGCCTTTTCAGACAACCTTACCTTAGCAGGTAGCCCAATATCCTTGTCTGATCTAATCACCCAAATTTTGATTAGTCTTGATGCAGAGTACACCCCAATAGTGGTTCAACTCGATGACAAAGAGTCACCATCCTGGATTGAGTTGCAGACTACTATACTAACCTTTGAAAACAGGTTAGAACAATTCAATACCTATCAAAATGGTGGCATCAATCTGAGCCAAGCTACAGCCCACATTGCAATAAATAGACCTGAAAATAGGTCATCTAACTTCAGTTATGGCAGAGGGCAAAGTCAACCACCAAACAACAACAATAGTAAAGGCTCTAGAGGCAGATTTCGTGGAAGAGGAGGAAGAAGTAATGGAAGTAAACCAACGTGTTAAATTTGCAACAAAATAGGGTACACTGCCTCAATTTCTTAGAACCGATTTGATCAATTTCATGGGCAACACATCAAATCAGTTCAACCAGCCCAAAAACTAGTCACCAAATGATTTTATTCCCTCACCTGAAACACTTAAAGATCCTTCATGGTATATAGATACTGAAGCAAGTCATCATGTCACTAATGATTTGGGAAATCTGCATCAGAAACAAGATTATAATGGTAAGAATTTTCTTGTAGTAGACAATGGAAACAAGCTTGATATTAGTCACATCGGTAACTCAAAATTAACCACTCAGCAGAAAGATTTATTACTTAATAATGTGTTATGTGTACCTAATATCACAAAGAATTTGCTGAGTATGTCTCAGTTGGTAGCTGATAATAAAGTAAATGTTGAGTCACTACAAGAAAAAAGGCATTTCTTGACAGGTATTACTTGTCAAGAAAGGGTCAATGACATTGTAGCCCCTGTCAAGAAAGGGTCATGATAGTTTTTGAACTGTCAAAGACCTCTTGACAGTTCGATAACTGTCAAAGAGGATTTAAATTATTTTTAACTAAATCCTTGCAGTCCTCAAACTGTCAAGAGTTTTTAACCAAAAAAAAAAAAAAAAGAATAATAATAATAATTGTAAGAAATTGAGAGAGAGGTAGGCAAGAGAAGCAGTTCTGGATAAAGACACTGCTAGAGTATTCCAAAGAGAAAGAGAAGAGAGAAGAATTTGTATTTTCTATATATCTTTGTGAGCCTGTACAATGGTAAATATATACAATTCTTGTAAATGTAAAATAGGAAAAATAATGAATTACAAATCTGCATTAATTCAATCAATCCCAAGGATTAAGGTGATTGATTGAAACTGTAATCATCCCTTGATCTCAGCATGCATAAATTAAGGAAAAGTTGTAATGGAATAAATTCATATCTCGTCACTCCCCCTCAAGCTTGTGGTTTGTAGATGTCGAAAACTTCAAGCTTGCTAAGAAGATATGAATGTTGTCTACTACACAGTGGCTTTATGAAGATGTCCGTTGGCTGTTCTGAAGTTCGGGTGTGTAAAGTTTTGATTACCTCTTCTTGTATTTTGTTTCTGATGAAGTGGCAATCAATTTCTATGTGTTTTGTTCTTTCATGAAATACTAGATTTGCTGCTATGTTGTTGGCAGCTTTATTATCACAATATAAGAGAACAAGTTTTCTTACTTGTACTTCTATATCTTCTAGCAAACTTAGAATCCAAATGATCTCCCATGTCGTTTTTACCATGACTCTGTACTCAACTTCTATAGAAGAGAGAGAAACTATGGATTGTTTCTCTGTTTTCCAAGAACTAAGAGCTCTCCTAGCTTGGTGCAGAAACCAATGAGTGATTTTATTGTCATCGGACATGTGGCCCAATCTGAGTCACAGTGGGCTGTGATATCCAAACCTTTGTCCTGAGGTGCGAGGAGTCCTAAGCTAGGACATCCTTTTAAGTATTTCAGCACCTTTATTGCTGCATCCATGTGAGATTGTTTAGGTACATGCATGAATTGACTGAGAATGTGGACAATATAACTTATTTCCGGGCGAGTCATGGTAAGATAGATTAGCTGGCCAACAAGTCTTTAATAGTTTGTGGGATCTTCAAGAGGTGGATCATTCTCTAAGGAGGATATCCCAGTATCATATTCTTGAGTGATTAGCTTGGTGTTTTATTTAACCGGAATGACACTTGGTTTACATCTAGATAATCCAGAATCAGAAATGAGTTCCAGGACATATTTCCGTTAACTGAGAGATATTCCTGCCGAAGATCTTGCAAGTTCAATTCCTAGAAAAATATTTTGGTTTTCCCAAATCTTTAATACAGAATTGTTTATTGAGATGCTCTTTCAAAGATTTGATGTTGACTTCATCATTTCCTATGATAAGGATATCATCGACATAGATGATAAGAGCAATGAATATTTTACCTTTGTGCCAGGTAAATAATGCATAGTCATGTTTAGAATGTACAAATCCTATGGTAGTGAGGGCTTTGCTAAATTTCTCATTCCATTGCTGGTATGGTTGCTTTAGGCCATAGAGGGATTTTCGTAGACGACATACTGTATTCTCCCATTGTTTGCGAATCCTGGGAAGAAGATTTGTGTAGATTTCTTTATGAAGGTCTCCATAAAGAAAGACATTATGGACATCTATTTGATGAAGAGGCCAGTCACAAATGAAAGCATTAGTGAGGAAAGTACGAACAGTGACATGTTTAGCTACCAGAGAAAAAGTTTCCTGATAATCAAATCCCTCACGTTGAGTGAATCCTTTGGCAACTAAGCGAGCTTTGTAGCATTCAATGGAGCCATCAACCCGGTGCTTGATTTTGTAAACCCATTTGTAGCCAATAGTTTTCCTATGAGGAGGATGAGGTACCAGATCCCATGTATGATTCTGACTTAGAGCATTT